TATATATATATATATATATATATATATATACTAAAAGAATGCTGGGTTGTCTCAAAGCATGAGAAATAACCAAAAGGGTTATTTAAGGGCTGGCTTAATTCGATTACATTCTTTTTATTGATTAAAAATTAAAGCCAAAATTAAAAACAGTTGGTTTTTCATTATTTTATTATTTACTTGGCATGGACTAAATGAGAGCATTTTCAAACAGCGTCCTCTACTGTTTGAACATTTAACCAAAATCTCTGACTCTATAGATGGGAATGTAATTCTCTAATTAGATGAAGGGTGCTGTTTGACAAATCTCAGGGCCTAACAAGAGTTGTCAACGAGGAAGACCATTTTCCACTGAAAATGTTGCTCCACTTTGTATCATCTCTCAAATAAGATGCTCAAATGCTTCTTGAAAAGAGCACCAGCTAGGGAAGTTTCTTAAAACAAATACAGGGTTAATGGCAATTACAGCATTTCTGAGTTTCTTTTTTAAATTATGAGTTCTTACTTTTGATAAACTGCACACACTTGGATTAAACAAATATTTTAAAACCTGACATTCTCTTGTTTTACGGTGTATTAAAAATAAAAAAAAACATGCCCTTTTCTCATAGTTTTCCATTGAATATAACAGAAAAAAACAAGAATAGTAGGTAGAATTTTGATTTTCAATTCAGAATCAAAAATTCAATCAAAGCTGCAAGCAGCGATCAAAGGGCTTGAGCATCACCTCCCGGTGGCCAGTTTACTTCATTTTGCAGTACGGTCAATACACATTTAGAAGATGTATTTAAGCGAGAATTGTTAAAATTACTGAACAATACAGACAATTTAACTAATGAAAACGGAATAATAAAGTGCCATGACCCCCAGTGGGGCCAGGTTGTTGCCAATATTCTTGTCACACATGTTTAAATTGGTAAAAAGTATTTTCTTATTAAAAGTGGTACAAAATGGAAGAACGAGGGATATTCTTTGTGGCCTCTACATGGCGCTATGACACACTATATAGATGTGTTCAGATATGGACTCCTAACAGACTTGGCAAGTTTCTTCCTGATCGGGAACGTCCAGCTTCTTGGTGAAACATCGAAATTCAGAAGAGCGCCAAGCACAAATCATTCCAGGTATTAAAAAAATGTCGCAATTTAACATTTCAAAGGCCTTTAGGTAAGACATGAAATTTCTAGGAGTTTGTTAAAGTATGAAGAATGGAACTGCACTAAATTTTGCAAGAAAATAACTGACTTTCTTTAAGTTATGGAAACTTGCTCTAATTGACTTTTTTTTGGAGGTTTGGTCTCTTACAAAAGTTTTCCAAATTTCAAACATGTCACTCTAATACACTCTGAAATAGCAGTAAAAAAAACTGAAGATGGCGCTATACATAACACCGTAGGCTGCTATATCGATTTGTTCAGACAGGGACTCTACGCACGCATGGCAAATTTGAGCCCAGTTGGACATTCTGTTTATGTGAAAATTTAGACTTGACGGCTGTCGTGAACAAAGTCCAAAAATCTTTGCAATTTAACATCCCATATGATTTAAGATAAAACTGATGGAGTTTGGAGATTAACAGATAAATTCTCTAGGAGTTTGTTGAAGTACAACATGAGGAAAAGTGACATTTTACAGGTTTTTGCGAAATAGCCAATTTTGGAAACGCAATTTATAGTACTTATATTTTTCACGGTACCTTACACACGTGTTCTGAGCATTTTTTGAGCTGAAATCCCTTAAGTGGCGCTAGAGAGCCATTTTTGCCATTCTGACGTGTGTGAAATTTGGCGACTCAAAAATGCACCGAAACCCGTGAAGCAGGTTCTGAGCAATTTCAATGTGGTTCTACATACCTTCGATGCTCGAGTCCTAATGAACGCAACGTACACAGACCAATAAATGCTAACCTTGTGCACAACAGTGAATATTGAAAAACAAAGTTCTTTTAACAGTGATGCTGCCCCTGCTCTGTAGAAGCACCCGCCTTGTGCCACCCGCGGTAGCCAGGATCTGCAGTCTTTTAAATCTAGGCTGAAAACACACTTTTTCAGACTGGCTCTCAAGTGTTAGTATGTTATCTTATTGTTTGTGCGTTTCCTATCTGCTTTCATTGTTCTTGTTGTGCTCTGTCCTTTTACTTCTGTGTGAGGTCTCCTTGGGTGCCCTGAAAGGCGCCAGTAAAGAAGTAAAAAGGTATTATTAACACTCTGCATCTTTTAGGGTAATAAACGAGATTTCTTAAAGGATCTTAGACCTTGAGTTAGTTTACAGTATCAAATAAAAGCAGTAGCCCAAAATAAATACAGGAAGTTAAGAACTATAACACAAGTTAGTTCTAGTATGTGCACCACACTTATTTTAACTAAACAGTTCAGCTAAACTCTATAATGTACAAAAAGCAAATAGTTGCTTTTATTCATCTTCACAGCAGCTATTTGTAAACCATTAAAAAGCAGATTTGGCAACTAAGTGAATCATTTAGGGTTGGAACTGAAAAAAAAAAATAATTCACTGCGATCCTACTTTTTATTTGTAGCAATCGTTCTAAATTTTAATCTCGCAGAGCTTTTATTTATATCTAAGTGTGAAGGGACATTCTTTAGTGAATTGTAAGATTATTTTAGCTAAATTTTCATTTTAAATGTTGGCATTTTATGAATTCACATGGGAGCAATGTTCAGTATTTTATTTGCCAATAAAAAAATCCAAACTGAACTGACTATTATGTGGATTGTCCTCGTAAAGCCAGCCCATCATAACACTGTGTTTTGGAGACTGTTGTCAGAGTTTCGGACCAGAATAAACAGCACCATCATCTGCATGAAAACGTGTAATGGTCATAATCACATAAAAGGGAATGGTTTCCTGGTCCCTATAAAAGCAGGCGCTGGAGAAGGTGAGATGAGGGAGGGGTTAAATGGCAAGTTTTACGGTGGGCAGAAATCAGCAAAGTATGGGTGCTGTAGAGCTTCTTCTGCTGAAATCCTCTGGACTGGATTACACTTGAGCAGATTCTAAAAAAAAAAAAAATATTAATGTTGGAAATTAATTTTACTCAAGAAATAAACAAATGATAGAATTCTAATCGCAAGCTCCTTTTGAAAATGCAGGTCTCAGACAGATTTCTGCAACATAAGCCCTTTTCGGATGCGATGTTTCACAAATTTTTGTCTCTCAGGCACACTTTGTGTTTTTAATCCCGGCAAAATCGGCAACGTCTGTTGTTTTCCCCTCTTCCAACCTCCAGGGCAAAAGATCTATTGTTTTTACTCAAAGTCGATGCTCATACGTGAAATCTAATCCCGTCCGAATGCGTTATGTCTCAGATTGTGGAAAATGTAAAACGTATTTCTTGTGTTTTTGACATGATCTTGTACAAACTCTGGCTCCCCAAAATTCAAGTTTTTGTATTTTTAAACCTACCAACATTGAGGAGGATGAAACCCTTCAATTTAAAAAAAAAAAAAAAAAACCCAAATCGTCAAGATGAACTAAATTGAAAAAAATTTGTTGAGAATGGCAACATTATTATCGGTTTCAGTTAAAATAATTTTAATTTCAGTCATCATTACATTGATATTTGCTAAAGCAAGGGGTCTCAAACTCAGTTCCTGGGGGGCTACAGCCCAGAAGTTAGCTCCAACCTCAATTAAACACATCTGGCGCAGCTTGTTAGGTCCTTGAGGCTGTTTGTAAGCTTCAGGATTGGATCTCTGAGCAGGGTTGGAAGTAAATTCTGCAGGGTTGCAGCCCTCCAGGAACAGAGTTTGAGACCCCTGCCTTAAAGTTTACATTTACGCATTTGGCATATGCTTTTATCCAAAGCGACTTACATTTTGATTGAACATATTTTCCCTCGCTTTCCCTTGCATTGTGCTAACAACCCTTAACCTTTGCGTTGTTAGCACAATGCTCTACCAACTGAGCCACAGGAAAGCCCAAAATATGCAATGTGTAAAAAGTATGTGACCATGATATGTAACATCTGTAAAAATTACAGAGCAACAAAAGCAATTGTTTTTCAGCAAACTCTGCTCTCGTCTGAGAAATCTTATCCAATCCGAATTCGTATGCAGTACAATCTCTGGAGGATCAGAATTCAAGATTCCGGTATTTTGACACCTACATCAATTGATGAGGATGAAACCATTGGAAGATTTAAAAAGAAAAAAAAAAAGCAGCTAAAAAAATGACACTAGCTACATTAAAATCAGTATCAGGTAAGATTATTTTCATTTCAGTAGTCATTAAGTTGATATGATAAACGTTAAAATATATGTAGTACATGTATATGACTGAATGCACTCCACACAATCTGATCACATGAGTTTGAACACCAATCGAGAGATCGCAAGCCTAACTCAGACACTTGTATCTCTGCACAAATCACAGACTTGTTAGTTTCGTCTGAATCAACACATGACAGGTGTCACCTGAGAAGAATTGTAATATAATTGACATTTGGAAAACTAGGCTAGTCTGAATGGGGCTAAAAACTAAATCACAAATGAATCACAAATGACAACGCAAGTATTTCTGCATTTGTAGCATTAAAATCTGAAAACGGTATAAAGTGGCATGACAAAAACAACGGAAGTAAGTACCTGTAGTAAATCTCTGCCAGTGCTGCTGAGCTTGGGTACGACATTGACAAGGGATGTAGTAGCTGGATACATGGGGTACGGCTGTTGAAATACAAACAATTCAAAGAACATTTCAACATTCAAAAGAGTGTGCATAAAAAAAAATGTCAATGTTTATGAAAAGTTCTACAAACTCAAAAATATGTGTTTTGTAGCTGTAAGTGCCACATTGTTTGCTAGCACACATTTTGTACAATTGGTTTATTTTTGTTGGGCAATGCCTTGAACCATTTGATGGACCGCCCAGTAGGGGACAGTAGAGCAGACAGGAGCAAGAGTTGGGAGGGATGGGAAAGACTGTGAAATAGCAACCTCGACTTGTGTATGTATCCAGCTCACCGGCCACTAACAGACATTTGCTACATAGATACAGCTCCTTCTAGTGTCCCAGCTTTAACACTAGCACCTGACCTGGGAACTGTTCTCTCTGTATGAGGATGCCTTTTTGGCTTGATTCACTCTTTTCCAGTGTTTATAGGTCTGGTGGACCCGCTAGAGTTTTGGCTTTCCGAATTAACACTATCAAATAATTTTATGTTAAATAACTCAAAAAAAGTTTACTTCATCTCAATTACAAGCCATATGAAGAGCAAACATGGTTAATTTTCCCCCTTTATCTTTTTTAGATCACATTGATGAATTAATGTGCTCCTCATTTTTATTGTTTTTTTTATTAATGTTCTGAATTTGATCAACTGATGTTATGAACTATTGATTTTTATTAATTTGAACTTCATTAGACATATTACTCATGTAACATTTAACATTTTCCAAAGCACAAGTTGAACACACCCATTAAAAACATCAATGGTGACATTAGGCCCAGGTTTGTAAAACAGGGGGAGGCGGTGGACCCACTTATACCACACTGTCCTGATGGCAGCTAACTTGTCTCTCTGCCGTCGAGCTGGTCTGTCATCTTGATTATCAAAACGAATAATCCAGAAAATTTTGTGGAAGTTTTCCAGAAACATTGATGCACGGAAAAGTTCTCTGCCGGTTTCTGCATCCCACAGTGAATCCAAAAGTAGGCCTGTAGATCAATTTGGTCCATGTCCTTCCACCTTTCTCCAAAAACACACCTTCCTTCTAGATTACTGCAATCCAGAAAAATCTCCTGAAAGGAATCTGGGTTGAAAAGCTCAAAAGAAGCCTTGATGACTGGTGGTTACTCATGTGCAGGACGTGTTGGCCCTGGTTGCATCTGTATCACATTAGCAGCTCTGCAGGGTGGCTCATTTCTTGGGCAAGAAAACCATTCAATTTCATAATTTTTTGACTTCCGTTTTTCTTCACTTGCTGGTGGGCTTGCACTGGTCCTGGAGCTAGTTGCTGATGTATTCGTCTTCGTTTATTTTACTAAATGGTGCTCAACCTCATCCTGTTCCTCAAAGTCAATGTCAGACTCTGAATTTTCAGAAATGTGATCCTCATATTCTGAAACCTCTTCCTCGACATCATCATCAGAAGTTCCTCTGTCTCCCAAAGTCAATTGCAAGACTCTTGCAGCAGAAAATCTTTTGGCCATCTTGGTCAGTTGTGATAATGAACCACTCTAGCAAAGCCTTATTTATAGTAATATTTGCAGGTGGGACAGGGTATGAGAAAATAAAGCTTGGTTACTGCAAGAGAGAGGGTAAAATGTGTGGGAATGAAGAGCAGACAGTGTTGATAGTTGAATTTTCCACAATGCTGTAACTTTGTGCGGGAGCAGGAGGTAGAGGGGAAGAAAACAGCAGCACCAGAAAGGAGGAAGAGTGTAGTAACACTGGACCTACACTTTCACCACTTTTATTAGACCTGGGTCCATTGGATCCGAACACCTTGTATGTAATGTAAATGTGTGGGGGGAGGTACAGTATGTGGTCATTAAAAATTTGTTCAGATTTATGTTCTTCACAGAAAATAAGCCAAAGCCAATGAATTTCAGGTTGAAAAAAATAATTAATTGTTTAATTTTTCTTTTGAAAAAAAAAAAAAAACTGAAAACGGGTCTCACAGACCCGAACACCATACAAGGGTTAAAACAGTTCGTTTGGGCAGGTGTGAAATCAGCAAGGAACTCTAGATCGGACCAAAAGCAGACAAAAAAAAATGAGTGTGAGGAGGAGGCCTCTGTGCGGTTCCCCTCAAAAAAACTCTAGAAAAGTTCATTCGTAGTGAGAACACAATCAAACTCTTATCCAATCGAAAAATAAAGAAAAGACATCAAAAGATGCATTTTGAACGAATACAGCCACCGTACTCGCTTGCATGTGGCATGGTGTGTGTTTCTTTACAAAGCAGCGTTTATCATTTTAACAATTAGTAAAAGACATTGCGTTCATTCTTAACGCGTTCATTCTAACCACATCGATGACGTAAGGCCTTTTTTCTTATATAATTACTTACTATGAAATAATATCATCTTGCTTTTGAAGATGGGAGACTGCTCTTTGGGAACAAATCCCGCTTTATAAAGAACAACTACGTTTTGTTGTGTGTACTTCCTGGTTGTTGGAATTAGAACTGTATAATTGTCAGGTGACCCAGAATCAGATTTGAAGTTTTGTCAGGAATGAATGACGTAATGAAGCACCTTGTAATCTGGAAGTTTGTTCATTGTCTGCCACTGTTCTTCCGTCGGTGTTCCCAGCAATGTGGAAAAAAAAAAACGTTAAGGTAATCAAACAAATAAAATAAAATACACCCATCCTTCCACTGAACATTATCACGGAGTCAAACAGATCTGAGACTAAGTTTTAGTTTCTCTTCATTTACCGAACAGCTTTTAAATCTTTTTTTCTTAATAATACTAAACCCCATTTCCTGTGTGTCTAATCCCCCTGTATTTAATGTAGGGGTCACCAACACAGGGGTCACCCGCTACCTCTTCTAAAAATAGCTCCAATAGCATCCAGTGAGCTGAATCTAATTTAATATAATTGCACTTTAAATGACACTTGCACATAAGCTTGATGTGACAATATATTAATTTAAAAAATGTAAAATATATATATATGGCGACCTCTATGACCTGATAGAGTGGAAAGGTCAGTATGATGAGCTGCGAAGAAACAAACAAGTGAAAATGAGACGACTGACCCACAAAAAGATCATTTCATTTTCACGACGAATGCAAGGTTAACGTTTTTATCTCTGTGGAAGGAGCATGTGTTTGTCTAATTTGCGTGACGACTGTGGTGGTGGCGGCGGCGGTTAAGCGGCACAATGTGGAGAGACATTTCAAGACATGCCACACAAGCGACCAACAATCCACAGAGCAACGGGAGGTGGCACAATATAAAGTGTGGCACATTAATATTTATCTGTTGTACCTTGTAAATCATTGCTGATATTCATTGTGAGAAATAATTAACATGATCGGTGTATTTGCAGAGATGAATATCCTTAATTATTAATAAATTCAGGAGAGGGTATCAAAGTGTTAGCCTTTTGCATTAATCGGTACCCAGGAAGTAGCTCTCGGTTTCAAAAAGGTTGGTTACCCCTGCTTTATGTGTCTGTTTCAAAGATAAAAGGAACTAAAGTCTGGTTTAATGAACTTTGATGACGGAATGCTTGCAAAACATCTGAGTCACATTTATAATTGCAGTATACAAAACAGATCTGCTTGAGAACAAGTCATATTCCTCATCAAGCTCAGTCTCAGGAAGTACAGTGATAGCTGAGAGAACATGAATTATTTACTGGTAATTAATGAAAAATGCCTGTCACAAAAAAAAAAAAACAGTTATGGCTGAAAGGATATCTGAAGATTCTTTTAAGTTGATCGTCTACATCATTGCCTGGAAACAGAGGCCGACCAGCATTCGCAAGCTCTGGAATGAACACAATTAGAAGCTTTAGCTGCACATAAGAACATCTTACATTATTTAAAAATGATGGACAACAGGTTTTATAATCAAAAGTGGTGACAACGGAGAAACAAATGCACAGCTCTGGGGTGGTGGTCAACCTGAATAAACTGAAGGAGAGGTTTATTTTAGGGTAAGGGAAGGGCTGCATGATTATGACAAGAATCATAATTGTTGTCAATTTACATTTATTTAAATATATATATATATATATATATATATATATATATATATATATATATATATATATATATATATATATATATATATATATATATATATATAAACAAACTGAAAACTGAAAAACTTTGAATGCTTTTCTCATTGACACAAATTTTTAGATTAGAATTGTCGAAAATAAACACTTGTTTCTTTAGAAAAACTAGCAAAGGATAAGATCAAAATAATGACATAAGTTATAAGAGCAACAAGTTGA